GGGGGATGCCAGAACCCCAGCCTGTTCCGCCACGGCTTCTCTGCTCACAGGGTCTGGAGGCTGCTGGGCAAATAACCACCGGGCCCTGCGCTCGGCCTGCCACTGGGGCCAACTGCTGGAGCTGCATCCACCCCCTCCCCAAAAAAACCATCCCAGGGATGGCATGACGGCATCCTCGCCATATGCACTCATACCCCAGCCTGTCTGCACCCCCACAAGCACCGGGGCCCACAGGAGGAGGGCTAGCTCAGTGGTTTGTGCATTGGCCTGCTAAACCCAGGGTTGTGAGCTCAATCCTTGAGGGGGCGGTTTAGGGATCTGGGGTAAATCTCTCAGGGATGGTAGTTGGTCCTGCTATGAGGGCAGCGGGCTGGACTTGATGCTCTCTCAAGGTCCATTCCAGCTCTATGGGATAGGGATAGCTCATATTTAATGGGTCTCCCTGGGCCTGGAATGAGATGGGCTGCTGGGCAGATGGATCTTCCCTGGGGAGCTCTAGTTCTCAGCCGTGGACTGAGCAGCTTTTCTAGTCTCTTGCCAGAACCCTGGCACAGAGCCGGAGCAGCAGCTGGAAATCTGATGGCCTCCCTTAGGCATAGGATATGGCCCCTGTACTGTATTGGACCATCAAGGCCACAAGCCCAGGCTGGTGAAGCAGGAACTCCTGTCACTGGTAGCAGTAGTAGGCACTTGTCCTGCCTAGGGACTAGCTCAGCCAGCGTGAGCGTGAGCACGGATGTGCAGCTCCCAAGCAGGCCAAAGGCTGTGCTGGAAACAAACAGCCAGGCCGGGGGCTGGACTGAGCAGAAAGTGCAGCTCCACAATTGACCACAGAGGTTGCTCTTGAGCAATTCCAGGCCTGCAACACCTACGGCCCAGGGGGTGGAATCTGGCCCCCTGGTTCTGGCCCCTGAAGCTTGGGGCTCCCTGCCCAGCCCCCTCTTGCTCAGCCCCCAAACCTGCTTCCTGGCAGCCCTGCCAGACGTGTGGGCCCCGCAGGGTCTGGTGTGCGAGAGGAATGTGAGGAGTGTCTTTCTGCTTTGCACTCAGAGGCCACCTCAGTGAGAATTTGTTTGAGGGATTTTTTTTTTGCTTCTCACTTCTGTGCGGCCCCCGACTGATTTTCCTGGGGTGTCAAGTATCCGAGGGGTCGCCGTGTTAGTCTGGCTCTGCAAAAGCGGCGAGGAGTCCTGGGCACCTCATCGACTAACAGACGTATTGGAGCATGAGCTTTCGTGGGCAAAGACCCCCTTCGTCACATGCATGTAGTGGAAATTGCTGTGGGTCAGCCGCCCCAAAACAAGCCCCTGGAGGGGGACGCAGCGCCCGGCACCAGCGTGTGACAGTGACCGAATGGGGCAGGCCGGGCAGCGCC